GTGTGTGTGTGTGTGTGTGTGTGTGTCCGTGTGTGTGTGTCCGTGTGTGTGTGTGTGTTTAGTAAAGCAAAACCGCGGTACATAGCTATATATCTGAAGTGGATATCTGTGCTGATTGATTGAAATAGGCAATATATAAATGTTTTTTCCTGTCTTGTATAAAATCAGCAAAATTTTTTATCTATTTTAAAAGATAGAGGGTAATATGGGGTTATAGAGAAAAAATAATAATAATAATGAGGAAAAAATGAAAGAAAAACGGTTCAGGAGTGAAAAAAAGAAAACTCTTATTTTTTTTTCTTCTTGTTAGACAGTGCCAAAGATTAGTTCATCATGATCTATGTTCTTCTATTTAATTTGGTACTACTCTTACCATATTTGATCTTGAAAACGTTAGGTTACAGCTACAATAGTCGTTAATGCTTTAAAATCATTTACTGACGAAAAAAATTTGCTCAGGAAGGAAATTGAAAAAGAATTTTATAAGTAAGGGGAAAAGTTGCATCATGGAGAAGTGTAGCAGTAATGATGATGATGATGACGACGACAGTGCAAGATGGTGAGGGTGGTGAATGTTGTTGTGGAAGAGGTAGAATCAACGGTGGAAGCTTCAAGTGAAAAATACTTCTAATATCAGTGACGGTAGCAGTGGTAGTAGCCGTTGTTGCTGTTGTTTTATTTAAGGAATTCTGCAAAATTTTTGTAAAAATTAGAAAAACAACGAATATGATAATGATGGTTAAAAAAATGGTGAATACTTTTTCGATGCTATTCTTTCTGGATTTGCAGCTGTTTGATCAAACATCAAAAATGCTGTGTATTCGTTGAACCACCACAGTTGATGGGAAGCAAAAATTAACTGATTTCATAGCAGATATGCAATCGACTATATAAGCTGTAAGTACCGTTGATTGCTAATAATTACTTGCTCAGTTGTCGATAACGTAGCCGACAGCAGCGATATGCCTAGGTAGATAATGGTATAGCGTTTCAGTTGCATTGATAGTTGTTTCTGTGGATACAGATGGTAATGGTAAAATGGAAGATACGAAAGAATAGAAGAGTGTGCTAAACAAATGTATCAAATGAAAAGATGTTTGTTTAGGAGAACTTTAAAAAAAAGGTTTTTTTTTTTTCTTCAAAAAGTTCAATATTTTTTGAGACTAAAAGAAAAAAATTTTTTCATCTTCGTTATTCTTTCGTCTACGATGTACATAGATGATGGCCATTGTTGATTCCGATACCATTGAGAGTCCAAGTTTTCAAAAACAAATTAGTATGTATGGCTTAATTGTGTGTGTGTGTGTGTTTGTGTGTGTGTCTATGCGCATATATATATATATTCACTTCCTTTATAATTTACTTTATCTTTTTGTTCGTCTTTTTTTTTTTTCCTCTTCTTTTTTTCTTCTTTATTCGGCAGAAGAAAAATTTTTTTCTCCTGATTAATTTGTTTTTCAACAAACAAACAAACGAATAAACAAATAAACACACAGCATACATCAATCAGTTGAAACTGCTTCCGCCGTTTTGACTATCGTTGTTGCTGTCGCCGTCGCTGTCGTTTTAGTGGTCGTTGTCGTTGTTGTTGTTGCCGTTGCAAAAACCTTTAGTTTTTCCGCCGTCATAATCATCGTTATCATCGCCTTTTTGCATTTTTTTTTTTTTATTGCCATCATCGTTTTTTGCCTTTTTTTTTTCTTGCTTTACATTCTTAAGTTTAAAAATTATTCGGAAAAAAAAAAGTGCTTTCAATGACCACTTTGGTATCATTTAAGTTTGCACATGAATTTCTTTGTTGAAATTTCTGATTTTTGTTTTCTGAAAACTGACATTATCTGTGTATGGCACTATAGTCTTTTACTATTGTATATATATATATATATATATATATATATATA